CAGGCTGGGCTGTCGTGCATATGCTGAGTTAAAGCCCTGAGTTCCCTGAATAGTCCATGAAAAAAGGCAGCTTTTTAGGGATTCTCCTGCCATCATAGATGGGCATTGATGCTGGGGCAAGGGTTGGTCTCTCACCATCACTGTGGGGATGGATCCAGACACATTTACACACTAATATTTTCATTTTCTTGTCTACCTGAGGGTGTGGCAGCACCATGACCTGATGGGGTGCAGTCCTGCCACAAAGGTGCTGGTTTGTGGTGCTGTCAGAGGGATGAGTGCACCCAAGCCTGGATTTCTCTGGTGTAGAGAGTGATTTAGAACAGCACTGTTATTAAAAGCCATAGTAGGAATTTGGTTGTGACTTAAGGAAAAGAAATCAATTCCTCTAGTCAATACCAGTATAAACACAGGATTCCTGAACAGAAGCCACTGACTAATCCTGGATAGGATTTGCCAGCAAACCTGGAGTGAATTCATCCGTTTGGTTTTATGGGTTGCTATTTTTGTGTACTATGGAGAGATGTTTGTCATATTTATTTACCTGGCACCACAGATCTGACAGTGGGCAGAGCCCTGCCATCCACAGCACCAGAACAGTGAGCACATCACACCACCCCACCAAGATGCTCCTCACCAGAGGAAGGTGTAAGGGAGTGTCTACAGCAACATGAACGGAATTAATAACTTTGTAAGCCTCCCAAACTAATGGGAATTCAATAGATGACCTTGGAAAAGTGTGTAGAGAGCATGGTGATGGATGCCAAGAGGACAGGCTGCACCTTGTGTCTCCCAGCTCCAACACCTGGTTCTTCTTTCCCATTCCCTTCAGACCTGAGGCTCTTTTGCGTCTTCCTTCGAAGGCATTACAAGAAGAAATGTAGGCAGGAATAAAGCAGAGGAGCCCCTTGGGCAAGCGGTTGTTTCATGTGCAGAGTTATTTATTGTACAAATCATCCAAACTATGAGCAGGCTTCATAAAACATAATAAACAAGGGAACTGGAGGGATGGATGAGCTGCAGCCACGCAGGGTGGGATGATGCAGAGCAGGACCTCAGTGGAACAGCAGCCTTTCCAAATGGCTGAGGAGGTCCAGAGCAGTTCCCCATGTGCTGCCCTAGCAAATGAGCAACGTGGAGCTGCTGGAGCTGTGGCAGTTTCTGGAGGCGCAGGGCCTGCTGCCATGTGTTTTAATAAATGGGTTCACACCAGCTGTCCGTGCAAATAAAACATTAGCATGTGTCAGACACTCTACCCAGGCACTTGCTGTAACTTAGGGGACATTTTTCAGCAGAGCCACTCAAGTGCAGGCTGTGCCATGACAGTGGGAAAACACCTCCCTCTCTCCCCTGTGAATTATGGCGTGCCAGAGAGCTGCCCACACCCAGGCTCCCCTCACGTGTGCACCCAGTCCTGGCTCAGATAACATTCCAGGCTTTTAGGTTGAGGGGCTGCCGACTCCGTGTGTTGGGACTGATGGTGCACTAAGACTGTAGGTATTTCTTTCACCTTCCCCTCTTTTCCCAGGTCGACTATTTTTCCTCCAGAAAACAGGCACGAAGGTAAGAAAGTAAGAAGTGAAAAAGGAAAATCAAATTGCACAGCATCTGGCCATTAAAATTCAGACCTTGATGAAAATCAGGGTTGAGAGTGTACAATGTCAGTGGCACACAGGGCTGCACATGGTGGGACAGGACACTCAGCGGGCTCCTGTTTCAAGGGAGCTGGTCCCAGAACCAAACCCACAGGTACTGACCCACAAGTGAACAGGGGAAGCATCTCATCCTGCCTCAGAACTCTCTTATCTGTTGCTACCACAATGAGGAGCTTTTAAAACCTCTCCAGCTGAAATGGAGGAGATTTTAAGTGCAACCATGAAAGCATGAATTTACTCATATGGCTTTAAGAGGTGTTTAATTTATGTGGAAAAAGAACCTAAAATTGGCTGCAGTGTGTTTCAGAGGATGTCTGCCAGCTAAAGCATTGACTAGACCGGAATAATGTGGCTATAATGGACTTACTGCTGTTACCAGATCTCATGTGGATGCCAATATCCAAACCAGACATCCCTGACTGACAGAAGCAACAGGCAAGCTTGGCAATGAAGAATATATAAACCAGATCCACAGGCTGATTTAAGCAGCAACAGGGACAGTGACAAACAAAACTGGGCAATAGTACTCTTCTAAAGAATTCCGTGTCAGGGGCCACACAGAGAGTCTCGATGGCATGAGGAGAGATGTGCTCAGAGTACAGAGCATGGTGACACACAGTGTCACCCTGCAGATCATCTCACTTACTGCTTTTCCTGATTAGCAGTGTGTGCTGCCCTGAACAATTTGTAATTGGTAGAGGAATATCAGTAATTACTTCTTACAGTTGTTATGGAGCTTAAGTGGTGCAAGTTAATATGTGCAAGAATCAAATATGCCGAGTGTTGTTCGAATGATAATTTTTTTTTTCTTATTACAAGGAAACCTGGTTGTTCACTCAGTCTAGTTTCACTCAGGAATGCCCATTAAAACTTAAATACTCAAAGCAAATACAGAGGAACTTTTTGAAAATCAGAAATGTTAAATTGCTACAAAAAAATAGGCCCTTCCAACTCAGAATATTCTGTGATTCTGTGAAATATTCATTGTGGGAAGCTTGTTCCAGTCCAGGGAGAAGCATTCTCCTACAATGATCCCAGTAGAACCAAAGCTCACAGTGGGCTCTGAGGATATAAATGGTTACAGTGGCCCTATTCTGGGACTGACTTTCAATCAGTCAACAAATAAAACCACTTGGAGAACTAATGGCTTCCAAAAAAAAAAAAAATTCCCAATTTACTTTAGACAGTTTGCCAAACAGGAAGAGGAGTGAAAACTGTAGAGTGATTTATTACAAATGATTTGCCAGCTCAAGCAAGTGCATCATTCGGAAAACGAATGCAAAGAGATGCTGTAAAGCAGCATGAACCCACCACGAAAGACCAGGGCTCCAGACTGCCAACCAGCAAGACATCTGCACGTCACTCTCCACATCACCACTGCCCTTTCAGTCACAGATCTTCCATCATTTGTCTTTTTTTATACCTCTGCACAGCTTACGACGTGAGAATGCCGGCTCACACGCTGTGCGATGGTTTCCATTAACGCACTTCAAACCTGACTTGCAGCTGCTTTGCTTATTCACTCTGGAGCCTTCCCCAGTCCAGGGCCCTGCATCACATTGTGTGCTGCTTCCCTGTGCTTGGGGGAATGGAGTGAAACCATTAAACAACCTTCCTATCTCGGCAAATCCACTTTTGCAGCCAGATCCCCCAAGGAAGAACAGGTTTGCACGGCCTGGGGTTTTGCTCCTTCTCGCTCCCCAGCAGCTGCCTCTTTACTTTTAAATTAATTCACTAGTTAAATAAATATATATATATATATATATATATCTGAGGAAAAGCCCACAGGTGAACTTCACATACTGTGCATTCATGTCTGCCTACTCCTTACTTGGCTAATGGGATAAGGTATAGCCTGAATTGCAAGACTGTCAAATACATTGAGAATTGTTTAAACTGTAATCTCCAAAGATATGGATAGGAAGTAATCCGCTGGTTTTAGCCCTACCATGGTAACAATGAGCATCAGTTTAATCCTAAGAGGAAGATGAGTGGAAATAATGCATTTCAGTCCCATTGTTCTCAAATCAGATGGCTCATATCTCCTCAGAGAGTGGAGAATTTGGGTTAAGTACACTGGGCTGCTGCTGACAAAACCTTCAAAGCATTTACAGGAGAAATGCAGCCCCACCACCTCAGATGAACGTTAGGGACCACGACAAAATGCAGAAGGAATCCAGGGCTTCTGTGGGGGATAGATTCTGGTTTCCTGGAATAGTACAGAGGGAAACTGGGAGAGACATGTCTAAACATTCACTGGCTCTGGGCTTAAATCTAAATGCCTCGCCTGCTTTTAGTGGGAGAAAACGTTCTGATTCCTTTCCCTTTAAGTTCCCTCTGACTCTAGGAACATCTCAACCACTCCAGGACACATGCAGCTTTAAATTCCAGCTGCCCGCTGATTAACCCCACCTGAAATTCATGTTCCAAATAAAAGATTGAGCAGCTATCACATGCGAGCCTGGCAGCAAAGGGACTATGGAGATTGGTGTCTTGCTCTCTCTGTCCCTCCTTCCGTGTCTCTTACATTTTTCAAGCCCAATGCTTCAGTAAACAAATGCCTCAACCTGTCAAAGCACTGGAGCACAGCAAGTGTTGATGCTGAAATCCGTTCCACGCATGGGCGTGTTGGATTTAGCAGTGTGTGGAGACCAGCAAAGCCTTGCTGAAGTCAGGAGGGGCTGCTAGTTAAACCAGCTATGGATTTCCCCAAAACAGCAAAAATAGCAGCCTCGGGCTTTGACGATGCAGTTCCTTTTCAGATGCCTGTGCTACACCCTGTGTCCAAAACTTTCTGAAATTAGGAGCTGTCACTACACTGAGGAAACTGGCTCTGGATCAACACAAGGAACTGGGGGAGAGATGGTTTTATTCCCCTGATCTTTCTGGTCTCTTTCCAGCAGAAGGGAAGGAGACGCAGAAGATGCAAAGAAAGGATGGAGATTTGGGTTTTTCTGGCGATGAACTGCCACCTTTGGGTGAACGTCCCTGGGGCAGCACGGCGGAGCGGAGCCGGACGCCCCGGGCTCAGGGGGGCACGGGAGGGTTGCACCGGCCCCGGGCAGGATTAATCGCGGAGCAGGATTTATGCCGGCGCAAGGTCTCAACCCGGCGCGGTGGGGCAGGAGGGGGTGCGGGGTGGGGCGCAACAGGAGGAGCCCAGACGTCCCCAAATCCCTCCTGCCCGCACCCTGGGCCGGTCCGTCCCGTCAGGGCTGCCCGGAACATCCCCATTCCTGAGCCAGTCCCCCGCTCCAGCCTCCCCCTCCTGCCCCGCCCGTCTCCGCAAAGTTTGGCCAACCCGGGAAGGAGGAGGCGGCTGCCCGGACCCTCCCGGCCCCTCACCTGGATGACCGTCTTCAGCGTGAGGTGTCCACGATGGTGGTTGCAGATGAGGGAGTTCGGGATCCCCGTCCTGGCGTAGATCTTTGCCCCATGGTGAAGTATCATGGGATGGCGAGGGACGGAAGGAGGCGATCCAGATGCAGCTAATGAACTTCTTGGTGCGGCTGCGGGACATGATGCTCTTGGCTTTGAAGGGGTGGCAGATGGCCATGTAGCGCTCCATGCTGAGGCTGGCGATGTTGAGCGCCGTGGCATAGGTGCAGGCGTCCCGGAGGAAGTAGTAGCCCTTGCAAACGGCTCCCCCGAAAGCCCAGGGGTGATGGACCCAGATGAAGTTGTAGAGCTCGATGGGCATGCAGAGCAGGAAGATGAGGAGGTCGGAGAAGGCGAGGCTGGCCAGGTGGTAGTGCACGGTGCTCTGCAGGTTCTGCAGCGACTTCTTGCGCACCAGCGTGTACGCCGTGATGGAGTTGCCCACGGTGCCCACCAAGAAAAGAGCCAAGTAGATGACGGTCACCATCACTTTGGAGTAGATGTCGGTGTTGACGTCCAGATCCTCCTCGTCGGGCACTTTGGGGAGCAGGTCGGAGCGGTTGGAGGCGTTGGCATAGCCGCTGGGGTGCGGGTGCAGGGGCCCGGCGGGCACGGCCGGGGCCGTGGCGTTCGGGTGCATCCCGGGGCCGGCAGCACCGCCCGGACCGGCCGCACCGCCGACCCGCCGCTGCCCCGCGGGAACTTGGCTCGTTTTAATTTGCGGCGGGAGGAGCCGCCGGTCCCGGGCTGCCTGCGCGTGTGCGTGTGCGAGGACGCGTCCCCCCGCCCTGCGAGCCCGCCCACAGCCCCGGCTCCCTCCTCCCCGCGCTCCCACGGCGTCCAGATTGCCCTGGCAGCCGCGGGAGCCGCCCCGCCACAACGCATACACCAGAACACAGACCCGCACACACAACCCGCACACCAACACAACCCGCACACACACACCCGCAACACCAACACAGGACCCGCACACACACACGCACACCAACACAGACCCGCACACACACACACCAACACAGACCCGCACAACACCGCGCAACACCAACACAGACCGCACCACACACACGCCACACCAACACAGACCCGGCACACACACACCCGCACACCAACACAGACCCGCACACCACCACACACAACCCAGACCCGCACCACACACCCGCACACCAACACAGCCCGCACACACACACCACAACACAGACCCGCACACACACACACCAACACAGACCCGCACACCACACACACGCACACCACGCACCTCACACCCGCCCCGCACAGCCGCCGCCGCAGCCTCCGCCCCACCGGTGACCGCGCACCCCCTGCCCGCCCCGCCGCTGCCTCCCCCGGACCCGGGGGCTTTGCAACCTCAGCTGCGTCCCCAAAATGTGGCCCGTGGAGGGAGGGAGGGAGAGAAGGAGGGAGGGAGCAGGTCCCGGGCTGGGCTGCAGAGCTCCTCATCACTGGGACCCCCCCCCTCTTATCCATCCCTCACAAAGTCAGTCACAGAGGCACGGCTGAAAGCTGAGGGCTGGTAAGGGGCTGGTAGTGGGTCCAACTTCCCTGTTCCTCTCCCACAGGGAGAGGAGAGGCACCAGAGGTGCTCCAACACACTTGTACATCCATATGTCCCACTGGTCCCCAAATACCCACTCGCCTGCTGCTGCTGCTAGGAGAAATGCATTTAAAAGGGAAAGCCCACCTAAAAATACCTACCTGTGCCCTGACCTGCCCAGGACACCTTCAGTACCATGGCACAGCAGTGACAGCTTTGCTTTGGTCCCTACCAGTGACTTTTCACTTTATCCCATATCCTCAGGTCTGGGGATGTGGAGTCCTCTCTGAGCTGCCTTGTTGCAGGGGCAGAGGCTGTGGGGGTGTCACGGTGATGCTGAAGGTGACAGGGGGATCCCCCACAGGGAAGGGCCCCCCAAGGCTGAACAGTCTGTGCTGGGGTTACCCTTTCAGCTACTCTGTAAAACTCCGGTGAGCTGTTTGTCCACTCAGTTGTCTTTATGATAAAATTTTCACAAATGCAGAGTATCAAGGAAAATCTCATTCAGGGCATCACTGGTTTATCCAAAGACAGCCATAACGTGTCCCATTCATCACTGAGTTTCCAACAGCCAGTGGGCTCTGTGTTCACCCAGACTCCTTACCTAGCTGATGCAAAAAGGTGCCTAATCCTTCAGTCAATCAAATCATCTCTTTTATACGAATACCAAACTTTCCACAGCCATCCACCAAGAGCCAATATTACCCCCAGCTTTGCTCCTCTTACATTCATCCAATAGGATCACCATGGAAGAATAACCAAAATCAGATTTATTTAGTCATCTTATTCATACAAATTTGGAGAGAAATATTTTCCAGCTCTCATCCCACACTAGTTTAGAAAATGACTAATAAGCTCTTAACACCAATGTTCCTTTCATTTGAGCTCTTCTGTTATGAAATTTCTATTAGTCTAGAGGAGTTTGTCAGAGTTGGTTTTCCCAGCTCCTCTCACCCATTGTTCCTGGCCCTTGGACAAGTTCTTGGGATGGATCAAGAGTACTTATCCTGAAGAAGGAAAGTGGAACATGAAGTTGGTGGGGTGTACTGATGTGTGAAGGGAGCTGCAGCTGGGATACAAGCCTTCTCCTGGCTGCCCACTGCCCCTATCCCTCAACTCCCGGTTTGGGGGGAGCTTATAGCCCCATGATCCAAGCACAAACCCACACTTCTGGACTAAGCACCTCTCTCACAGACACAGCCAGTGAGTTCCTTTGGGATCTTTGTCTGTAACCAAGATATATTGTCCCTTCTGGTGCTGTAACTTCATTTTGGCCTTGTGAAAAGCAATTGCTATCCCCACAAACAAGATACCCATCTGCTGGTCTAATTTTGCAGTGTGTATGTGCACGTTTATATCAATAACTGTCTGCAGAATGCTCTGGTTTGGATTTTGTTGCCTCATGTTTCTGCACACAGGCGATGTACAGGCACGGCTGCTAACAAGGAGAGCATTGACTCTCTGTTCTGCCCCAGCAGCTGTTCCTGAGTGCTCCACGTGCTGCCTCCTCCACCTTCCCTCCATGCCAAGTACTGGCAGGGAATATCAAGAGACATAGTTTAAAAATAATTCTAATTACACACTGAAATAGCAGGTACCCGGAAATAATGTGGTGTTGATTTACAATCAACATTTCAACAGGCTGGTGCAGTTTGTACCAGCCAAATCTCTCTTTTCCTAAAAGTGCATTGGTAGGGTACTACCCCAAAAATGGTTGGGTACTACCCCAAAAATGGTTGGGTACCACCTCAAAAATTGGGCCAGACTACCTCAAAAAAGGTCTCAGCAGTGTATTTCTCTGAGCTAATTAATGAATTTAATAAATTCCGTTAATTCCTTGGCAAATCTGTCTCAGCCACATGTGAAGAATTCACACTCTCACAGGCAGACAGCTCTGTTCTGTTTCTCACAGACAGGGTGTTGAGCAAAGACCTCATCTCCTGGGATTCAGCCTTGCATTCCCCATGCAGGGATCAACCTCTCCACCTTTTCAGAAAGTTTTTTTCCAGGCAGGTTCTACCTTCTGTCCTCACATCACTTTTACAGACCTGGACACCTACAGCTGGCCCATGCCTGAGCTCCTGCCAACCCTGGTCTCCAAGGAGGCAGAGGCTTAGCCTGCCAAAGGAAGGCACCCTAGACATCCACCCCCTTCCTGCCTCTCCATGTAGCACCTCTTCTCCCTCCCCACTGCTAGTGCTTGGCCTGGGGAATCTGTGAAGTCTCTTTCCACGTGTGGGATAACAAAAAGAACGGCAAAAGTATCTCTTCTCGCCTTCACTTCTGCTCCCTGCAAGGTTTTAATCCATATTCCCCTTCCAGCCAAAGCAGAGCTGGAGTTGAACCACTCTCCTCTTGTGCCCCAAAGCCTCCACCATAAATCCCTGCTGTTTGTTTCGGAACTCGCCGACCTTTAACTAATCTGGGCTCGTTTTAATATATTTTGTGTGTGTGTGCCTGTGGCTTAAAAAGGAAAAGAATCATGGAAACCAAGAGATGCCTGATCTCAAATGTTACAGCAAGGCATTTACTTAAAATCTTGCAGGAAAATGTCACCCAAAGACCTCATCTATTAAAACTGCCTGGACTCTGAGCTGAGAGTCCCACAGTGCCTGAGATGCAAGGCCCACAGGATGCCTCACTCCCTTTTATGTTGACCTAAGTGTTTTTCATCTTTGCTTTTTCCAGGTGCAGTTGGGAGTCACTAGGAATTTTTCATGTTAATCTTTTTCCTGTCTGATTTCATTGGGTGGGATTTTTCTGAAGGGCAAGGAAAGCAGCAGAGAGAAAGCTCTGCAAGAGGTTGCTGCTAAGAGACAGCACCAACCTTTTTCCCATCTAGCACCCTGCCCCAAATACCTGTTAGAGCAGATTCCTGGGTCAGGTAATGCTGGATTGATTCAAGCCTTTAAAATCAGCTCCCAGTGGACTCACTGCAGTCAGGGTCTCCCTAAAAGTCAGGAGCATCTAAGATGGGTTAGGAAGGTAAAATCCTGGGGTGTGTAGGGCTTTTTTGAATCATGCTGTGCTTGAACAGCAGGGAAGTAAGGGAGAAAGGAGTGACAGAAAAAGGGGCATCGATCAGCCTTGTTGATGACAATATTGACTGTATTATTAATTACAGGCATGGGAATGCATCCCTTCCTACCCTCAACTTATTGCAAAATAAAGTGTTATTAGTTTGGCTGAGCAATAAAAGATAGTTACTGCCTTTGGCTGAGCTGATTTCAGGAGAGTATTTTAAATCAAAACTGTTGATACATGGGATATTTATTACCTCTCATTTTCATAGCAAAGGCACCTGCTGAGACTCCGCAGTGTGAGCATGTTGGTGTGTGGGACAGACCCCGAGCAAGGCAATGATCACACACCCCAGCACGTGTGTCCCTGGGCAACTTAAAAAAAAAAAAAAAGACAACCCAAAAACCAGAACACACCAGGATGTGTGTGGTGCTATTGGTAAGAGAATTACCCTGAAGTCTCTGGGAAGGGACAACTGGGAAATGAGGTGTCCAGGCACCTTCTACAGGTCATGTCTTCTGTGTGCTGCGGGGACAAATTCAGTCCTTTGACAAAACTCCTTAAAAGATAATAGATGTACTGGCTGACATACCCTGTAATATTGTCTCAGACATCAAAGACTGGTGCATTAACTGGACACACACAGGAGATATCAACAGCTTTAGCTTAGAGATAAAGGAGTTTTGGGTCCCTCGAGTTGTTGCTGCAACAAGCCCAAATCTGATTCCTCGTGGCAATAAATGCATTTTATCTTCATATATGCAGTATAAGTGCTCAACACACTGACATTCATGCTCACACACTGCAGGCAGGATTTTCCTTTGGAAATCCTCTGTTTTATTCCAGGAACAAATATAAAGAGAAGGGACAGAGGAGTCCAAAGGGAGAGTTTGTGCTTGCTGTGGCTGGGACCTTCCCTCCTAGCCCCAAGCACAGCACATGCAGATGGGCTGTTACTCTATTCTATGGGATTTAATCTGCTTTTGCAGCCCTGGCAGCAGCTCTGTCAGCTGTGCTTCCAACAGCTCCGCGCAGCGGTGCCGGCTCAGAGCACAGCCCTCGCTGCCAGGAATACTCCAGCTCCAGCTCAGCTCCATCCCTTCTCCTCATACACCACACC